CCACATATAACACTATGTGAACCTGTGCTTGCTACTTCACTTCCTTCTGCTTGGAATTTGCCCTCTAATATGCTTATGTATGGTAGTAATGAAACCCAGTTACAGGCCTGTTGGAGAGTAAAACCAAAGTACTCTTACTTATTTCTGGATATACTTTTGCACTTTGGATTTCTACTTTAAGGCGTCGATTTCAGTGTCCGGCAGACTTCAATGGTAAAGTATACATTGGGTTTGTCAAACACTGTGGTTAGCGTTCTCTGCTTCTCACTATTTAGCATTTCAGAGAGGGCTCTGGCACCAGTGTCCCTGACAGAAATATTTTTTACTGCTAGACATTAAAATAAATAGTATAGATTTTGAAGGTTTTGTTAAATCATGGAAAATTAATAGGAAATTTTACATTAGGCAAAAATAAGAATAACTTATAATATACAGATTAATCATTAAATATTATAGAAAACAGTTAGCAAAACTATTTCTGAAATCATACACTTCTTATCTTGATGTAAGCTTTGTGAAGCACGATATGCATCATGGAATTTTGATTGTTAATTGTTACCTTAAGCAAAAATCTTTTGTGAAGTACGTTATGCATCATGAGACCTGTAAGCCCCCAGCAGGTATTTGTCATACTGCTGGAGGTTATAGAAAATGGTATATAAGCTGGAAAAAGTTTGAATAAAATTGGACTCAGTCCTGATCAGACTGATCCCAGAAGAACTGCCTCCGAGTGGTCTCTTCTCGTCGTCCTGATTCCCTGGAGCAGGTCCAACTCCCCTCAGGTCGGGCTGGACCCCTACATGACAGAGTGAGACTCTGACTCAAAAAAAATAAATAAAAAATTTGAAAAAGAAAATGTGCTAAGTGAAATAAGCCAGATTCAAAAGGTCACATATGATATGATTCATTTTATATGATAAATCTTGAATAGGCAAATCCTCTGGGAGACAGAAAGTAGGCTGGAAGCTACCAAGGAGTAGCAGGGAATAAGGAGTGATTACTTAATGGGTATGGGTGTTTTTCTGGAGTGTTGAAAAGTTTTAAAACTAGAGAGAACTGTTGGTTGCACAACACTGTGAGCACACCAAATGCTACTGAATTGTATGCTTTAAAATGGTTAACTTAATACTTCAAGAAAGGGATTGGCAGCGACAGGATACTGCTGGGGTAGGGGGAGACTCAACATCAATAAGGGTATCTGATCTCAAACCAGGCAAAGTGTGGACCAAAGGGAGGCCCAAACTTAACCCGTACGATGTCCACTTGTATACCTAATCCTGAATTGCATCCCACATCTTTAAAATAAAATAAAATTAAAATTAAAATGGATAAAAATTTTAAAAATGGTTAACTTATGTTATATGAATTTTACCTCAAAAAAAGAAAAAAGAACTTTTTTCTTAGCTCCTGTTCAACAATAACAAGCTTCAAAAGTCCATACATCCTCAGTGTAAGCTGAGGTTAAAACAAAAAATGGGCCAGGCCCGGTGACTCACGCCTATAATCCCAGCACTTTAGGAGGCCAAGGTATGAGATTGTCTGATCCCAGAGGTTTGAGACCAGCCCGGGCAACTTGATAAGACCTCATCTCTACAATAAATCAAAAAATTAGCCGGGTGTGGTGGCGAGTGCCTGTAGTTCTAGCTACTTGGAAGGCTAAGGTGGAAGGATCACCTGAGCCCAACAGATCAAGGCTGCAGTAGCTGTGAGCATGCCACTGCACTCCAGCCTGGGCATCAGAGATGCCAACCAAACAAAACAAACAAACAAACAAAAGAGGCCCAAGGTAGCTCAAGCCTATAATCCTAGCACTTTGGGAGGCTGAGGTGGGAGGATTACTTGAGTTTGAGACCAGCCTGGGCAACTTGGTGAGACCTCGTCTCTACAATAAAAATCAA